AACGGACAGGATTCCCTGGGACTGTCTTAATCTCCTCAGAGACCTTAACAAGGGGAGTAATGGCCATGCCCTTGATTTGGTCTTGACCTTAAGGCTGAGTGTTCATAGCCATGCCTTTAGTTTTGAGCTTTGCCCCTAAAGCTATGCCCTATTTTGAGAATATTTTACAGCCCGTAGAGGTTGAAAGTGAGAGATGATTGTTCCTTTCAACACAGTAAACCCCAGGATTTCTAGACTTTCTATGTTCCCTTCCAGTTTCTAGGCTTGCAAAGGAGCCGGTTTCTATCTGTCATCACTTTTTTTGTTTCTAATGAAATATAGTTAGTTGCGCCGAGCCGGCACGGCCATGGGTGAACCTGAGAGGGGGCGGTGAAGGATTTAGAAAAGACAGACAAAAAAAGAAAGCTGGGCGCTAGGTGGGACGCTGCCCTTTCTGATGGCGAGACAGCGCCCAGGCCTGCAAGCCGAGTCTTTATTTCATAGCCAGATTCCACCAGGCAAAGTAAGGGCGTGGTCAAGATGTTTACAACGTTCTCGTGGGTTTCCAATCTACTCAATTACATGCCCCTGATCAAGCTTTGTTTACTTGCTGCACATCCCGCGGCCTGTATCACTCAGCCACGTGGGACCACAGGTTCGGACCATAAAGTCGAGCTTACAACTGTGGCCTTTGGCTATAACTGTGCTGGGACTTGCACGTGGCTTTGCCACGAGAGGATCGTGCCCTCTCACTAGTCCCAGGCTTGAACCTGTCCAAACAATATAGCCGCTCTCCACAGTTAGTAACAACTAACTCACATTAACAATATTCTGTTTCAAAACTACTTCTCCCAAAGCCATAAATTCAGTAGGTATATTTTCTGCCTTCTAAAGCAAGCAGGTCAAACTCAAAGGCTAACATAGGCCAAATAAACAAGGTTTAAGTTTATGTGGGCCGCAAAAAAACAAAAGCTTCTATTTTCATAGCAAAGTAGGATTATTTCAATAGTGATATGCTGAATACAAAGGGCTGAAATAAATGAGTAATCATTAACATAAAATAGAACATTTTAATAAAAATTAATATTTTTTCTTGAACATTAACTTACCAGACACTGGATAACTGCACAAATTAATAAGCGTAACGCAAATAAACCTATTTTTCTTGTTCTCCGAAAGCGAAATATTTCCTGCTGTGCACACCAACCAAGTCAGTCCAAGACTGATGACGTGGCCATCGGCTGCTAAAATATTCGCTGCTAGTATTAGTAGAGAGAAATGGTGCGCCTGCGTGTAAGGCGCGCAGGGAAATGAATGCAACATGATTATACTGTAGTAATCAGTCACTAGTGAACATTGTAGCTCGTTATTAATAATTATGTATAACAGGATGTTGTCAAAATTAAGTAACGAAATTTTTATTAAAACGTTTTTTACATACCATTATATTGGCTGGGTCGCAAAAATATTCGTTGTGGGCCGCATGTGGCCCACAGGCCTCGAGTAGTCTGACATGCTTGCACTAAAGGCTCCCATGGTTTCCACCGTATCATTGTTCTCACCAGACTTAGTGCATTTTCAGCCTGAAGAATCGCCTCTTCTATTTGGCCACCTTGAAGTCGGTCTTCTAATTTTCTAACATCTGGTTTTGCTTTAACCATATCCAGCTTCTCATTTGCAATCTCTTCTGTTTACTTCCTATATGCGGCACTTTTATTTTATTTTTTTAATTATTGATTTTTTACAGAGAGGAAGGGAGAGGAATAGAGAGTTAGAAACATCGATGAGAGAGAAACATCGATCAGCTGCCTCCGGCACACCTCCCACTGGGAATGTGCCCGCAACCAAGGTACATGCCCTTGACCGGAATCGAACCTGGGACCCTTGAGTCCGCAGGCCGACGCTCTATCCGCTGAGCCAAACCAGTTAGGGCTATATGCGGCACTTTTAGATTTGCTCAAGAACATCAAGAATCTTTGTGTACAATATGCTTAGCCTCTCATGTGGACTCTCACATGCAGCCCGTCCCGGAAGGCCGGTGGTCTTCTTCAGCAAGCCCGCCATGACAGCGCCGATGAGCCGAGTACCAGTATTTTTAGTCTAAGTGCATCCTCTTGCCATAGTTGCTTCTCCTCTTGTTATCAGTGAGCCCCCGGGGGGCCCCTTAGCAGCTGAGGTACTGAGTGCTTATCAACAACAGATGAGATAACAACATCCTGACACAACTTACGTCATTCTTCTATATCAAAACAACTTCCTGTCTGTTTTTTAAAAAATTTAAATATTTTTATTGATTTCAGAGAGGAAGGGAGAAGGAGAGGGAGATAGAAACATCAATGATGAGAGAGAATCATTGATTAGTTGCTTCCTGCACCCCCCACCCCCTACTGGGGATGGAGCCCACAACCCAGGCATGTGCCCTGACCAAGAAATGAACCTTGATCTCCTGGATCATAGGTCAACCCTCAACCACTGACCACACCTGTTGGGCAAAACAACTTCCCTTCTAAAACATTTTCTTGTCTTTGCATAAACAGGGTTAAAACAGCTTCACTTAAGTCATAAACAAATGGATTTAAAATCATATCAAACCAATACTCAGCAGAAACCGAAGCCCGAAGCCTGACAACCCAGGAGAAACTGAATGTGGCCAACAACCCTGTGAGCTCAGAAGCAGGTCCTTCCCCAGTCGAGCCTCAGATGACACCAAGGCCCCAGCTGACACCCTGACTGCAGCTTGTGAGCCGTTGAAGCGGAGGCCTCAGCTATGTTGTGCCCTGACTCCTCACTCACAGAGACTGAGACAACAAATGTGTGTTGTTTGAAACCACTCCATTTGTGGTAATATTTCACAGGGATTCATAACATGCCCCTTGTGTTTGGGGGGACGGGGGTCCCTTAAAACCACTCTCAGGAGAGTCCTCCAGCTCTGCAGTCAATGCCATGGTTCTCCACCAGGTCTCAGATCTGAGCCCCATCAAACCTGGTCACAGCAGAAAAGCAATAATCCCTTTAGAATAATGGGATAGAGACGGTTGGTTCTGATTGGATGTTAACATTTGAGAAGGTGTATAAAAACGTCAGGCACTAGAGGAGAGATTCAGAGTCCTCCAGCTCTGCAGTCGGTGCGGTGGTTCTCCAGCAGGTCTGAGATCCGAGCCCCAGCCTACCGGTCACAGCAGACGTTTCTGCAGGATTCCTTTCTGAGCGCCTTGAAGATGAGCATCCAGACCCCACCCACACTCCTGCAGCTGGCAGGAGAGAGCCTGCTGAGGGACCAGGCCTCAGCCATCACAGCTCTGGACTACCTGCCGGCTGAGCTCCTCCCGCCGCTGTTCATTCAGGCCTGCCGTAGGAGAATCCAGGAGCCCCTGGAGGCGATGGTGCACGCCTGGCCCTTCACTGTGCTCCCTCTGGGGGACCGGATGAAGCTGCCTGAGGTCATAGTCTTAAAAGCCGTGTTGGATGGGCTTGACGTTCTGCTTGCCCAGGAGGTTAGGCCCAGGAGGTGGAAACTTCGGGTGCTGGATTTAAGGAACACGGGTGCCAGCTTCTGGAGAATGTGGTGTGGAGACAGCACCCCGAAGTGCTCACCTAGGGCACCAGTGACTGTGCACAGCTCCAGCCCCAACATGGAGCATCCCTTGGCTCCCTTGGAGGTGTTCCTAGACCTTAACTTCAATGCAAGGGATGCGGGGGAGTTTCTCATGTACATCATTCAATGGGCCAAGGAGAGGGAAGGGTTGCTACACCTGTGCTGCAAGGCGGTGAGGATTGCTGAGGTGCCCTTCCAGAGGGTCAGGAGGGTCCTGGATGGGGTGCAGCTGGACTGCATCCAGGAAGTGGAAGTGAACTGCGCCTGGGACCTGCCCACCCTGGGGACGTTTGCTCTCTACCTGGGTCAGATGAGTAACCTGCAGAGACTCTCTCTCTCCTACATCGATGTGTTGGCTGAGGAGGAGGACTGGGAGGAGGAAGAGGATTGGGACAGGAAACAGCAGGAGGAGCAGCGATCCTTTTCCCAATTCCTCTCTCAGATGCTCAGGCTGCGGCACCTCCGGGACCTCAACATGGATTTTCCCTCCTTCCTCCAAGGCCGTCTGGACCAGATGCTCAGGTGCCTGCAGACCCCCTTGGACAAACTCTCCATGGAAAATTGCCAGCGGCTGACGCATTCAGACCTGACACACCTGTTCCAGTGCCCGAACCTCAGGCAGCTGAAGTCCCTGCATCTGTTTCGCCTCAGCCTCGCAGATTTTAGTCTTGAGCCCCTCTCCAGGACCTGTGCCTGGATCACTGTGGGATGGTGGACTCCCAAGTCGAGGCCATCCTGCCTGTCCTGAGCCGCTGTCACCAGCTCAGGGAGTTCACCATCTCTAAGAACAACTTTTCCGTGGCCACCGTGGAGAAGGTGCTGCGCCACACAGCCGGGCTGTGCAGTTTAGAGTTCGAGCTGTACCCCGTCCCTCTGGAGTGTTACAGGATCCAGGGGACCGTCAACCAGGAGAGACTTGCCCAGATCCGGGCTGAGCTCATGGGGATACTGAGGGAGTTAGGACAGCCCAGGACCATCTGTCTTGCCACCAAGCACTTTGGCGATAGTGAGTTTTATGTTGTGGCATTTTCATGACATGGAGCCCGTGGTGTGACCCTGTAGTGACCCTGCTCACTGGGTGCACCCAGCAAAGGCTTCTTTCTGGGCTTTTGGAAGCTGAAACCTCAGACCGGGTGCATTATGCAGGGGGCACCCACATTTCAGGTTCATGCTCAGTGTGCATGGGGAAAGGGAGGGACCCAGCCCGGGTACAGGATGGCAGGGGCAAACGTTGGGGAGTTCATGAGACCTCAAAGGCAAAGTGTCCTACAATCAGAAACATGAATCTGATTTGCTTGGGGAGGGGGCAAGATTTGGGTTCGAGGTGCATGTGTGGGAGTTAATTCTGGGGTGGTTGGTTGTAAAGGGATGATCAGAAATAAAGACAATTTCAAAGGCAAAAAAAAAGAGAAAAAAACCACCACTCTCAGGTTCAGTGATTCACTAGGATTGTCAGAACTCAGCAGAACTGTTATACAGTTTACACAGTGAAAAGATACAGATTAAAATCAGCAGTAAAAAGAAGGCACATAGGGCAGCAGCCAGGAGACACCAATTATCCTCTCCCAGTGGAGTCATATGGACAATTCTTAATTCTCCCAGCAACGATGTGTGACAATGTGCAAGGAGTATTGTCAACCAGGGAAAGTCACGCAAGCCTTGGCATCCAGGTCTTTCAGTGGAGGTCAGTCAGGTAGACAGGCCTCACCAACCAGGTGGCTGACCTTAGTCTCCAGCCTCTCCCAAGGTCAAGTTGATGACACCTCCCGGCCGAAGGCCCCCAGGTGAACGAAGACACTCTTATCAGGCAGGATATTCCAAAGGATTAGAGATTACGTTCCAGGGCCTTTCTTTCTTTGGACAGTGCAGAGTTAACCCTTCACTGCACACCCCTTAACTTCAGGAGTGGGATTCTTGAAGGCAGAGAAAGAGGACAGGAAACCAAGGTGTTTTAACCTTTATACCTTTACCTGCCTTATAGTCAGAGAGTTTCCGGGAAGTACACCATAGAGCCAGAAGGCAGGGTGCAGGGGCGAGGAGGCGGAGACTGGGCACTCGCCCAGAAGTTTCTCCTGATTAGCCACTGAATAGAAGGCAAGCTTCCCCCGCTCGAGGTCCAGCCACGTGCCCACCACCCTAGGTTTTTCTGAGCCGAGGACAGTTTCCTTGGCCATGTGCCACATCGAGAGCTGGCTGGTTCCCTTCCACTCCACGCACCAGGAGTCCCTGGTCCTTCCCAGCATCTTGTTGCGGCTCATCCCCCAGGAAGCCACGCCAATCGCCCAGTGACTGCACTGCTGAGTGTCCACTTCCCAGTACTGCTGCCCAGAAGAGAAGGCTTGGGAGCATAAGACCTGGCAGATTGTAAACCTGGTGTGACTCCAGACATAAATCTGTGGGACGGGAGTTACAGTCACCTTCCTGCGGTCCTCCGACAGCTCCAGGCTAACGGGCAGGCTCCTCGGGTCAAAGGTTGGACTGACAGCCCCTGAAGAAAAGAAAAAAACAAGAGCATAACCAGCCAGCTCTGACTGTCCCTGCTCAGAGGTCCTCAAAGAGCAAAAGCAGCTTTGTGTCTTTGGGTGTGATCAAGTTGTCCTCAGACTGGCATTCATACAGGTATGTCAAACACTTGCTGCTCTCTATACTAGTACATACCCCTGATGTTTGCTAACAATACCCCTTTCCCTCCTTAGCCTCTACTTACCATCAACCTTCTTTCAGGGAGCCCTCCCTGCGTCCCACCCAGCAAAAAGGCACCTCTTGCTTTGCTCGATACCCCCCGTGTCTTAGCTGCTCCCTAATGTACCATCTTCTACCTGGAGCACAGTGACATGACCACGGCTGTCCATCTCTCTCTAGTCATAATACATAAGCTTCCTGATTAAGGATCATGTCTTATTCATTTTGTATATTTTATACTGTTTCCTGCTGAGTAAATAGATGTGAATGCCGGAAGCCGGTCCATCCTTGCTGCTTGACACAGTCGCTGCAGGGAAGAAACATCTGCACAGCATATGTTTCAAGGGACCTGGCGTATATAGCATACTGTTCTTAATATGTTTGCTCCCCTTCTTAGCGCTATGTGTTCTTACCAGGGTCACCTCTCCGAGAAAGGTTGTTTCCCCAGGTGGGGATTTTT